TAAAATAAAATTTATTTTAAAATTAAGATAGGATATTTAGAATTTTTATTTTCATATTTTATAAATTATGAAAAATTATTTATAGAACACTAGCTAAAAAAAATTTATATATAATATGATATAAATAAGAACATACTTATAAATCAGTAGGCGACATATTCATGATTGTGGAAATTGTATGTATTAATTTGATAGGTATAATTTCAATATAAGATGCTCTTGCTCTTATTCTTACTAGTCAAAGATAATAGGTGGTACAGTACTTTGTACTACATATAAGTGGAAGTCATTGCTTTTAGTGAAAAAAAAAAAAAGAAAAAAGCACGTTACTCATAAAAATAATGTAAGATGTAATAATGAAGTACACAATGTGATTAAAATTTACGTGAATGGAATGCATTACTGTTATGTAGTACATACAATGACGTATAGACGTCAAAAGAATATAAAGTACTTATTTTTTTTTCATTGTTATCATGGGTTCCAGATTGAGGTAAATAAATTTTTTACCTTCAACTTTTTCTAATGAAAACCATTTTATGGATATTTTATCTGTATTATTTTATTTTATTTATATTTTCACTATATTACTACATTATTCATTTCATGTAATACATAAATAAGTGAAAGTAACATTTGTCTAAAAGATATTGTTGAAATGTTTTTCAATTAAAATTCAATATAATTTCAATTAAAAAATTGAATTAATATATTTTGTATTATAATTATAATTATAGCATATTGATATTTTTAGGGACAATGTACAACATCTTTTTGAATGTTTCTGTGAGGTAGCCGCACCATTAGGAGAAAAACCACCTTGGATATTACAAAAATATCCAATTTCTTTTTTAGATGAAGAAATACTTAAATCTGTCCCTAAATTTGCATATCCATGTGAAATTGAAAAGTAAGTTTCAAAAACTATTTATTGATGTTAATATAATTAATTATAAAATTAAATATATTTATAATATAATGCAATATTATTATATTATTACATTTATTATAGTGTAATGGTGCAGCATTTTTCATTTGTGCTCACCAGTATAGATTCCAAATGGACTTTTGGATTTTGTAGACATGATCCTAAGACAGATACAGCTTTAGTAATTTTAAGTGCACTTCCATGGCATGAAATATTTTACAAGTTAGTTTATTCTATTCTATAATGTAACAAATTTAAAAAAATTTATATGTGTATATATAAATTTATTTTTTACAAACAGATTTTTAAATAATATTGCAACTTTAATGAGTAATGGTACCGGAGAAGAACTATGGAAATTTCTTGAAACTGTATATAAAAGTCCAGTTCCCATTCCTGGTAGTTCTATCTCTATTCCTGTACCAAATTCTAAAGTGGTAAATAATTTAATAGACTTATTTTTTTGTATATGTTACATTTATTTTATGTTATTGTATCATTATATCTTTTTCATTTTTATTATTTAAATTAATTATTAAGTTAATTATTATTAAGTTAATATTTTACAGAATTTTGTTTGCCAAAGTCCAAAACAATTTCAATTACCAAGTATACCTGAAAATGTAAGTTGTAAAAAATTAATTTGGAAAAATAATTTGAATAAGAAACTGCATATATAAATATTTCATGATTTTAGAGAAATTTGACCGAATATTATAGTGCAGTTGATGCTCACAATATGATGATTATATTTGCTTCTATGTTGTATGAACGTCGAATTATTTTCACTTCAAAACGCCTTTCAAGATTGAGTGCTTGTGTTCAAGCATGCAATGCTTTAATTTATCCTATGATTTGGCAACATATATATATCCCAGTTTTACCATTATCTCTAATTGATTATTTATTGGCACCGATGCCGTTTTTAATTGGAGTACCTACTCCAACACTTCAGGTATTTGAATAATAATAAAAGAAATTAAATAATTTATAAAAACAATTATTTCTATTTTTCTTAATTTTTTAATGTTCTTTATTATATTTTGTAGAGAGTACATAAAAGTGATTTAGGAGAAGTAGTTATATTAGATGCGGATGTTAATATTATAGACTCTCCATTTCAAGATTTGGAATCTTTACCTCAGGATGTAGTTCGTATTAAATTATGATTTCATTTGTGGAATAACAATGTTATTCTTAAGAATCAAAATATATCTTAAATAATAAAATAAAAAGTTTTTTCGTCCCAGGTGACAAACTTGAAAAAGGCATTACGTAATAGATCCGCCTTACTCGGAGATGGTGTATCAAGAGCATTTTTACGAGCGTTAGTACAATTAACAGCTGGCTATAGAGATGCATTAACATTAGAACAAGGACAAAGTATTACTTTTAATCAGAATGCATTTGTAGAAAGTAGACCATCGTCGATGCAACCTTTTTTGCGAAAAATGTTGGAATTACAAATATTTCAACAAGTAAAAATGATCTTTCTTTGAATTATTAAAAATATTTTGATTAAAATATATAAATTTATAATAATAATAATAATTTCAGTTTATAGAAGAAAGACTGAATATGCTTAATTCAGGACTTGGTTTTTCTGATGAATTTGAAATGGAAGCTTGTAGTTATTCTGCTAAATCTAGTAGCAAATTTATGCAGCAATATCGAGAATGGACTTACACTATGCGAAAAGAAAGCTCTGCATTTTTCCGCAGTGTAAAAGACAAGGTACATTAATTTGATGAATTTTTCATTTTAAATATTTCGGAAATTGGTTATCAAATTAAAACACGTAAAATCAAATTATTTTTTGTGTTTTTGATTGCTTTCGATTCTAGGCCAATCCAGCTGTCAAATATGCAGTTAAATCAGTAAGTTTAGTGTATAAATTAAATTAATTTTTTTAATTATGTGTTATTAATTATACTAATCACAAATTTCTGTTTTTTTCTTATATATATATATATATATATGTATATCTTATATATTTGTGTGCACATATATGAAAATAGCTGTTAATAAAATGTATTAACAAAAGCAGTGGAATAAGAATAATAATAATAATATTAATATTATTTATTTATTAAATTAATTTTATTATTAAAATTATATAATTATTTCTTTTAAAAATCTAAATTTTTCATTTTTAATTTATAATTTTTATTATAAATTATATAAAAATTATATTTGCAGGTAAAAGATAAAGGAAAAGATATGAAAACGGTATATAAAGGATTAAAATGGAAAGGTATAGCAAACTTTTATAAACTTTTAAAAACTTGAAAAAGGCATTACGTAATAGAAACCAGTATACAGTTTAAAAAATATATTAAATAGAAATTTAATAAAATTCTTTCCTATTTTTAGGACGATCAAATAGAAGCGATACAAGTCTGAGATTCCATCAACCAAGATCAGCGCCTAGTTCACCTACATCGGATCGAAGACCTATTGATTTTTCATCACCGCCAAAATCTCCAAATGGTTTTACTGCTACTACTAGTTATAGAAAAGATCTTCGAATACGTAATAGTAATTTTACCGATTCGAGGTTCGTTTTCATATCAATTTTTTTTGTAAAATTATTTTTTATTATTTATTATAAAATCTAGTTTATATTAATATAATTTTAAAATTGTAGCAGAAAACAATATTCACCATTAAGTCCTAGTTCACCAGAAGAATCTGATTTTCCACCAGAAAGAGTAAATATCGATTTGATGCAAGAACTCCGTCACGTAATATTTCCGAACACACCTCCCGTTGATAGAACAGTAAGTATATTTCTTATTTTCATTTGCTATATAACTTTATTTTAAAAAGCTTATATAAATTTCAATAAAAAGATATTTTATGTCAATGATAATCTAGCATCAGTAAAAAATATTTAAAAAAAATATTTGTTTGTATAATTTGAATGTATTACAAAGTGTCGCTTATTGTGTATTAATGTGTATGTCTATATATTCTGCATTAATAGCATGATAATGATTTTGGATAAATGTATATTGAAATATATCATGCATGTATTATCTCTAGATATTTTAACACATATTTAAAATATAAAATAATATAATATAGATATTATATATGTATCACATTAAAATGTTATATAAATACAAAAATTACTTGTCATAATTTAAAAATAATAATGTTGAAATATTATTTAAATATGCATGCAAAATAAAGAATGTTAATTTCAAATAATATATATATTTATAAAGAATTGTATAAGCACTTTTTTATTCAACAAAGAATGTTTCGTGCGTCACTTTCAGTTGAAACCAGTACGCAGTTTAGACAGCTTGAGACCTGCATGGAGTGGGCATATACGGCACGGCCCTCCACCTAGTACAATTATTACAAATCCAACTGTTACTTCTTCCATAAAAACTACACCCTGTAGTTCATATTCCACTGTTTTCATTACTTCAGTTGATCAATCAAATTCTTTGCTAAATATCAATGATATATCAAGCTCTCAAATTAATGAGAATAATAAAATGTTTTCATTCAATACTTTGGTCTCAAAACCAAATAAATCAAAAGAAGAAAGCGAAGAATCATCGCTTTTATCTGTTTCACAAAAATGTATTGATAATATTCAATCAAATAACTTTTCATCTGAAAT